TGTGTTGCTGCTCAAAACCACTGATTAGAAGAGATAACCAAACTAAACAACTGAAAGTGGGTGTCATATGTCAAACAGTGGGATGACTAAAAAGTGTAAGAAAATGTTTTTTTATAGATAAATTCTAATTTTTCTGGCAATAATTATATTGATTGCAGAGAGGAGAATAGTATCATGCTCAATACACTATCTACAGTGAAGTATGCTTGGTGACTGGTACAAGTGTAGGTTGTATCGTAACCAAAGGTGTTGGTGATCTACACAGAATTGATGGTGCCTTGACTGCTGACAAGTACAAGCAAGATATTATTTATAAGGCTATTCGCTCAGGATAAAGACTTGTTAAGCAATGATTCATCTTCTAGCAAGACTAATGCCAAGCATGTAGTGGAATAACATCTGGAAGGAAAAGGGTGCCAGTGAAACACACAACCATGGGAAATACAAGGCCTGAACCGGCCAGGTGGATAAGGCGCTCGACTCGCAATCTGAGGGTCACGGGTTCGATTCCCCGTCCCACCAAACGTGCTCGCCCTTTCAGCCATGGGGGCATTATAATGTGGTGGTCAATCCCACTAATCGTTGGTAAAAGAGTTGGCGGTGGGTGGTGATGACTAGCTGCCTTCCCTCTAGTCTTACACTGCTAAATTAGGGACGGCTAGCGCAGATAGCCCTCGTGTAGCTTTGCGCGAAATTCAAAAACAAACAATACAAGGCCTGAACCATATTTCATGATCATACATTGATAAACTTGTTTTCACATAAAATCAAGTTGGACTGTTCTGTTTAATGTAACTATGAAATACTAGTGTTGTTCAACTTCTTTACTTTTCTTTTGTAATGATGTACTGTACTAATGAAAAACTGAACATTTAGTTGCAATTAATCTTTGTGACTGCTGTGTGTGCATTTACATAATTATTTCCAATATTGCATAGAGAATACAATATTTATATATAAATAAATAAATAATTCTAATGTTATCAAATATATCAATAGGCAATTAAATCAGCACTATAAAAAAATATTATAATGTGACTGAAAAATCAAAATTATTCTTCCATTACCAGTCGTCATTCTCATCTTTAAATCATAATGGATAATGTCTTTGGACATAGCACCCAAACGACTTGGGGATATTCCATCTATCGGACAAAATTCACTGTCAGGTTTTTATAAGAGCCACGATTCTTTATGGTAGGTGTCTGTGACTCGTTGGTGAGAAATTTCAACAAAAAGCGAACAGCACACACAATTCCACTTATTTTAAAAGTAATATATTCAAAACAAGTCAAACGTTTGTACAAAAATTCGTTACATTATTGGTTTTATTTAGAACTTTAAGTAATTGTCTCTTTTTTTTTTATCAAAGCTCACAAATACGGGTTCAATCACTTTAGAACAACCTTTGATAAGACAAATTATTCTCCTCTATCTCTGTTATTACAATACAAGCTGTGAAGTTCAATTTTAAAAATCACCCGTTATGGCTAAACTGAGGCATTGAACTTTCTACAGACTACAAGATGTTATAATGCAATAATACTCATTTAAAGCAACGAGAAAAATTGAGAAGGTTCGAGTTACATGACGTCAAAACATAATCATCGACAAGTGAACTATACAACGTACTACTTTTTATACAGTTATACACATAAACCTGCGATAAACCACCACCTCTAAAAATACTAAATTTAACAGTTGTGCTTTATAACTATCTAAATCGTAACTTTCGTATTAAATTTAACTGAAGCAGGCGTTTATCTAACACAGACACTAATGTCAAACTGGCCAGCAACTAAGGTGGATGAGTGAAAGGTTGGGAATTGAATGATTGAACCCTAATGTCTCAACTGTTTTTGCGGTCTGTAGCCAGCTGTGGGAAAGCATTTACTCTTAATATTTAGATATAACCTTAAAGTCGAATTAAACCGCCCTAAAATTCTACAATGTAGCATGGAGGTTGGGAGTATTATAATGCCCTTGTTCTAGACCATAAAAAATTAGTTTTTATTAATTTTAATTTTATTCACAAAGTCAGGGAAACACGGTGCTTTTTCCTACAAACTGGATGTTAAATCTTGCAAAGTAGTAGGCAGTGGTGGGATTCAAATATTTTAACAACAGGTTCTCTCACTAGCAGCATGTAAAAATATTAGATATTAAA